GGAGCTAGGGGAGGGGGGGGGGGGGGGCGCTGATGCTGTGGGACGAAAACCTTAAAATGAAAGAAAAAATTTCATACAAGTTGGCCGACTCCGGCGGTATGTGGAGGGCGTTAACACTGCACACCAAGGAAACGAAAAATGTTCCTTTTGTGATATCTCAAGATTATGTCAGTACACCTTTAAGTGGAGGTATGTCACTACAGGATAAATTCATAAACTCTCTGTTGAGACCTCGTACAGTTTATTGACTTTTCAAAAATTCTGAAATTTTTTTACACAACTTATTTTTTGTTTGATATTATTACATTTCTCATTTTTTAAAATCCTTACTCAAGAATGTGCCATTTGCGGTACGTTTGTTTTTTTGTCGTAGAAGATTGCAAAGGAAAAAATGTGTTCTTATAGCATTTCTCAACTATTCCTTAGTTGGAACGCTCACAAATGAGTGCAGTGATTTTTAATGTATGACCGTAGCCTTCAGCAGTTTAAGTTTATAGGGCTGAACAGACCAGAACAATATTTATGAACAAAGAACGTATACATGAAAAAACTACAAGTGCTATTATGTTGTCATATTTTCAGAGAAAAGTTCTTAAAGTGTGAGGTAAAACATAGGGTGACTGCGAAAATTCTCCACGCCATTGCTTATCAGTCACGCACACCGACGGAGACAGTACAGGCAGCCACCGTGCCGAGTTTGCCTACTGCGCAAGCGAGTATAAGGGACTAAAGGCTAACACTTCTACTGGAGCAGCCACAGCCAGCTTTGCATGTTAGTTCTGACACTGGATTCTTGCATGATGATCTGTGGCTGGCTGTGGTTCAACTCTACCTTGTCTATACCAAGAAAACACCTAGCACTAGCCAAGAAGGCCACGTTAAGTCTTTAAGGTGAACCAACTTTGCACGGCTAGTGTAAACTTCTCCCTTTAGTTTCTTTAAAGGACTCCTAACACTAAATTTAGAACCTCGAGATGCTTGCATTGCTTGAGACTCCTCCTTGATCGATTTCCACTTTCTGACCGGTTATTTGGGACGACCATTGCCTATAAGATATCTCAATTTAGTTTTAAAGTAAGGGCGTGTGCTTGTTAGTCTATTCAGGTGCATTCGACATTTTCTGTGGTCTGATGCAAACAGGGGGTCCCCTCGGGACGTTGCAAAGGTCATGCAAGTATTGCCAACGTCTGAGAACACTTGCGGGGTGCACGAGGACTATTGTTCTTTACCCTTCTCGCTAGGGCTGGTCTCAAGGTGGTTTTGGCTGCCTGAGCCAGGAATGCTTTTCTTTTTCTGAGGGGGAAACGCTCAAAGCATCCACATCATTTCATTTTCCACCACCTGCGGGTCTCCCTATTTGAAAACGTTGTGTTCAGCGTCACCGAAGCTTGAGCGCACAGAGTCTCAGGCATTGCCCCGCTGTGGGGCGCTAGTTTCTTATGGTATTTAGGCGTGCGCTACGAACTGATGCAAGATCGTTTGGAATCAATGATGCTAGCATAATTTATACGATGCGTTTGAGCATCGATTCAATTTTGGCATTGCCATACGCAAAGCTACAAATCACTGTAAAAAAGTCGCAAACAAAACTTTCGCTGTCGGGGGTCCTTTAAGTTGGCCTTTCATAAAAAAAATTCATCCAGCTCTGCTTTGCGAACACCGATGAAGCAGCATAGCTATAGTAGTTTTCTCTGTGAGGCTAGCACGTTCCTATATTTTGCAAGTATTTGAGATATGTTGTATCTCTGCTCTTTATTAAACATTGTAGTATAGTTTCATATCTTCTTGATCATTCTTATATGCAGGTTTACAAAGAAGCGGTCACTTGAAATGCTTTAATATGTTGTATCGTTGCTCTTCATTACTCTTTAAAAGGGCTCTGAAACACTTCTTTGAGTAACCATGGGATTAATTCACTGGAAAAGCGTATCACCTCACAAATTGAATGCCGGAAAAAGTTTAATAATCCGTCCAGTACGAGCGGAGTTGCAAAGATTTGTCACACGCTGCAATCACATTCTCTCTTCTCTCGTCCCGATGAAAGTGCTGGAAGCTGAGCAGGGAGGAACGGTAGGGGCAAACAAAAAATGCCACTCGCGCCTTGTGACCTTGAGGATTTTTTTTCTTCGAATACGCGGCTTTTTCAGTGCGATCGCACACGCATGCATGAACAAGTGACGGCCTCTCGCGGTGACCTCTGTAACAAGTGAGAGTGCCATGTTCAAATCAGCCATTGGCTGATAGATGGGCTTACTGGGCTTAATTCTGTGATTTCAAAACATTGATTGATTTCAAAACATTGATTGACAAAACATTGATTTCAAAACAAGGACAAAGATAACCTAACAGAGTGGTTGAAGTAAATCTGAGTTAGCAGAACGTCATTATTATGAATGATACATTTTTTTTATTCTTCTCATTATCAATCAAAATGGTCTTAGCAGTTGCTCCTCAAACCAGGAAGCAGCTTCATTCAAATACATACCGTATTTTCTTGCGTATAGCCTGCCCCTGCTTGTAGCCTGCACCCCCGTTTTTATGCACATATTGGCGTTTTTGTTACAGGCTATACGTGAGAAATACAACACATGTACGTCGTACTTAGCGAACTTCATCGAATGTGTGCTTTACATTCTCCAATGGCATATTCCATTGGACATTCCGTTGGACTATTCGGTTGATGGAATTTAAGCGGTTGAACTACCTTCAGTTGGTCCTTTCAGAGTGTCAAGCTCAGACTTGGAGCGCTCCCAACCTCTCTGACTTTGTAGTGAGAGCTTGGCGCGACCTGGTGGGGACAACGGATTTCATGACACAAGCCGGCAACCAAGTGATCACGCATCATGTGGTTGTTGGCAGGTGACAGCGTATGAGCGCGCATTTCGAAAAAGGATGTTGCAGGATGCGTATTACTTCGTGCACATGTATTGTTTGTGGCACTTTTGAGCGTATGTGTGGCAAGTTCACATCTATGAATTTATTAATTAATGAGATCAGAAAAGAGGCAGCTAGTGAAAGCGGAGGAAACGCTGATGCTGTTATTACAGCAGCTTGCAGACGAGTGCCTTACAGCTAGCAGCTCGAACGTCGACGATGCCAGATTTAGGTGCTGAGCTCGGAAAGCTTTCTTTGCATCCAGACATGTCGGAGACGGCCACCAATATTAGAGATGGCCACTAATATCTCGGATAAGGCAAGTGGGTTAGGGGAAGACAGAAGGATAGGAGGGCAGATGAGATTAAGAAGTTTGCTGGTATAAATTGGCAGCAGCGAGCACAGGACTGAGCTGACTGGCGGAACATGGGAGAGGCCTTTATCCTGCAGTGACCGTAGCCAGGCTGATGATGATGACTAGTATTAGAAATTGGAGCAGTGCAGAAGTGTTTACCCGGCGGCTTCCCTTGCTGGCTGCATGTTGGCGCTACAGGCGCACTGCTCCGGCTGGTTCAAAATTGCTGCTTCATTCGGTTGGTATGCTGTCTCTCACGCTATGATTGCAAGCTGCCTTAGCATGTGGTAACTCCCAGCCAGAGGACCGGAACGGTCAACCGAATGCACGATCATCCAGCCAGTAACACTATTTGACTTACTCAACAGTGCATAAAATCTTTCTGCTGCTGCAAAGGTGACATTTAATGGCTTCGATTCTCTTCCTATACCCCTGTCACATGTCAAATCTGATGTCATGTACAGCAAATGTTGTTTGTAATTTCATTTGCTGTCACATGGGAACGCTATTCCTAGTCGATAAAAGCGACATTTTCGGTTACACACATTCACATTTTATTTCGAAGCGAGTGTGTAGTCTCCACACCAAAGACTTTGTAAGGCAGACATTTCAAACTCGCATCTGCTAGCGGGCTGCAGTCATGAAATTTAGTCCCACTGGTGCCGGTAAAAAAGGTGTGAGTAGGGGGGGGGGGGCGTAGTTTGCACAAGATGTCAGCTAATATTGCCCTTTGAAAATGGCAACATTCCCCATATTTGATATAACGAAGATTTCGGAAAAGGAATGCACATCAGGGTTCCAACAACATATTCATACCAATATCTCTAGAATGGCTCAGATCTAGACACCTATTCTGTAATATAGACCTTCTGTTTCATGGTTATGGTTCAATACCTAGGGACTGCATGGAGATCCTCCAAAAATCGAAAAAAGAAAGAAACAAAAAGTTTGAGACCAAAATTATCTTTGTAGCTCATCTACAAACTTAATAAAAAGATTTTTAAAAATGTGGAACAAGGACAGTGACATGCGGGCTACGAGCCGCTAGAGAAAGGTCTGCGGGTTTTATCTTTTAGACGTTTGTTCGAAGGAAATATCAATTGACTTTTTTTATATGTAACATTAATTTTAGAAATATTTTAGTTTTATTTTAGTTTAACTAATTACTGCTTTGGTGACATTATTGTAAGCAGGAAAGTTTTTAATAGAAAGCTATTCTCAACTACAGCAGTGGTACAGGCTAGACGACAACCATGTTTCATTTGTGCTTTGTTGTCGTTTTCCTGGATCGCGGGTTTTGATAATCCGATAGCTCATTTCTTGGTGATCAAAGTGGTGACTTCATGAATTAGGTGCCAACACGCTGTTTCTGCTGCCGGATACTCGATCATACTCCTGCCTAGTCATATCGTTGGTCATGTTGGTTTGATTAGGTCTGGCTTGACTTCGTTTGTGCAGTGCAGCTGTGGAAATTCAAGTAAAACGGCTACACTTATATTCTTGCAGCAGTTTTTTAACAAATTCTTTTTGAGGGTACAGGCATGTTAAATGCTAGTTTAGATAAATTTTATTTCCCGCAAAGTTATGGCTAAGGAGGGTTTTAGGTCATGGCCATCATTTTAAAATTATATTTGTGTCATGTGACAGCAGGAAGGTAAAATAGCATTTAGTTCATGCAATGCCATTCGTTGTAAATGATGTTAGATTTGCCGTGTGACAGGGCTATTGGGCACATCATTTAGTGTTGTGCTTCTTTTCTTTCTCTCATCAGAAAGTGGCTGACCAATCCAGTGCGGAAGCTGAGCCATGGGCGCCTGGATAAGGGAGATCCTGCTTCTGCAAAAGGCAATCCCACACCACCTTCCAAAAAGCTGGCACCTCCTGCTTCTGTGGTACAGTCTTCAAAGGCAAGTATTTAGCTACCAGCTTATTCTGCTCTCACGTACACACAGTATACATTTATCTCGTTACTGAGGAATGACTTTCTTTTTGCTGATCAGTAATAATGAGAAAAGGTCTCTTCATAATCCCCCACATATTCTGGAAGGTTCCTCATTCGGCTTTAGACAGGAAAGGCAGAGCAACGGTGCTGAATGAAGGGGCAGCTGCTGCTTTTTTCAGTAATTCCTTTAGTAGTTCTAGGCTAGAATTTTGTAATACAACACTCTATATGTTGGTTGCAAGAATAAAGGAGCACTTGTAGAGGAATTGTTTGACAGTGGCAGTGCCAAAAAGTTTATTCAAGTGTAGTGGTTGCTAGTAGCACTGGGACACTGCTGTTAAATCGACGAGTTACAAATTTAAGTTGTTCAAAAGGCTCAGGACTAGCTTATCGGAAGCATTTTTTTGAATGGCCATATAAATGACCTACTAAGCAAGCTAATATAGTCTGGGAAAATTATTAAGGAAGCTTATAAAATACAGATGAACACTTTCGAAGTTCAGTGCATATCAGGTAAAAAGTGCAAGGGGAGAAATGAATGAATAGTCTGATATGCAAAGCTTAAAGGTCTGGCTGGAATTGTTTAGCAGGAGTTTAGATGATTATTAAAAATGATAGATATAAATAAATTACATTTACTATTATATGCAGCACTGGAGCAGGTTGCATAGTAATTGAGATTGGAATGTGTGTGGCAGTAGTGAAAGGGCTGTTCATAAAGTTTTACTAATTATCTGTGAAAGAGTGTTGGGAAAATGTAATGACAGAATTGATGTCAGTTGGTACATGAAGGGTAAGGCTGTCCTAGCACCACTTCTGAAAGGAAAAGCTTGAAGTTTGTAGTGAAAAGCATTCCAGTACCAGCTAGTATGCTTTTACAATATAGGAAAATGTAATTTATTTTAGAGCACATTCTCCTAATCTTGATTTCATAAATATGGCACTAAGCATGCTTCCAGTAAACTGTTGTCATTGGAATACTGGCAAGCTTTAACTTTACAAATAAATATCACCTAAGTCAATATTTATGACAATAGTTGTTTAAATACAAATCTATTAACTCGTGCAAAGTCTGCCACCTGCCCTGCCACTGAAACTAAAGCTTCATCAGCAAATGTTAATTTATCTCAAACCTTCTGTTTTTTGCCATCTGGGAATATTATACAGAAAAAAGTGTTATCTTTATTTATATTAACACTGTGTTCAAAATGACGAAAAGCCGAGTTGTTTGGCAAGGATTTGTCATAAAAAAAGGTAAGGTGTGCAAACGCAGGCGCAAGGGAAGTGAACAGCGTCTGTGTTGTCTTTTTTTCTTCTATTGTGCCCAGGTTTGCACACCTTACCTTCTTTTGCTGTGATCAAATAGCCTGTACAAAGGTCGCTTGATATGTATTTTATTTTTCAGTAACTAGAAAGTTTGTTTTCTTCAGAAACAATCAAGTATAATTGGTCACTGAGTAAGTAGGGCTCTCTCTGTGCATACATGAAACACTCACAGCAGCTTAGACAGGGAAAAGGATTGGTGGGTCCAACCCCCTCCTCTTCCTTGAAATTTTTTCATTTCATGTATGTATATTAGTGCATACATACAAACATACATGTGAACTTACACGAAATGATATGGGGGCTCCCATGTCCTAAATATGAAAAAGTAAAGGCAAAACAAAATTCTGGGTACATCCCTCTCTAAAGAAATATGGCATGATTTGCAGATGTCTTAAACTGGTGTTATAATCATTTTGCTATATTTGCCATATAATAATTTTGCCATTTCAACATTTGTGAAGCTCCTCCTTTTTTTTTTTTTTTCCATTTTGGTAGATCACTGCACAGGTCATAGTTAGGGTAATCAGTTCAGGCTGAAGCAGCATAGTAAGAGAAAATAAGTTGCAGCATTTTCTTTACAGCACAGTGCAGTAGCGCACGAATAAGAGCCCCATTGACAGGTTGTTTTTCAGGGCTTTGGCAGCACTATACAAGTACTTCAATTTAAGACTCGGGCATAAATGGTCTCAAATATTAATAATAGTGCCTTATTATCTCTGTTTGATGTGGTTTATTTTTGCATTTAAGAGCTTGGCTTGGTATAGGGAGCTTTCACAAATGGCAGGCATGTTATGCACTCTAGGTAGGCAACCTTTTTTTTTTTTTCAGAGGCGGCTGGGAAGGGCAGCATCACAGTCGTATTTGGGAGCGTTGGCGTAGCTTTCAGGCAGGCGTGATCGAGTGCAAGCGCGACGCAAGTTTAACTCCAAGGAGTGTCATGCAAGATGTGAGCTTCACTTGAAGACTACACCGCAAGACTGTGTCAGAAAGTCCTCAAGTGGTACGAAGAAAAGACTAGAATTTGCTGACTGGAGCCGTTTATGCTTCGTGTGGGCGACTGTGTAAGCGAGGTGGTCTTGTGGTCACGTGTCGACAGCTCCAATATTCCCGAATTCTCATTCTGTGGGCGAGTTTGATTAACCGGGAGTAGTTGAAGTCGAGAAAGGGCCTCGAGGGCCGCAACTTTCGGACAAGTGGCTGGATGGTAGAGCCATGGGGGAAGAAAGTCGCCACCCACATCGTGATCGTTGTCACTCAAGTAAACGTGTTATATTAAGGAGCACTCTTCTCGTGCATGTATGCCATACTCCTCATAGAATAACTGTGCAGTGAGATGCGAGCAGGCTTCGCCATTCCCGACTATGCATGTGCAGTGCGGGGCAAGTACTTCGCCATTATTTTTGCCCATGAACAAGACTTTGGCAGGGGGTTCACTGAGAGTGGTTAATCTTGGCAAGAACAAGCGTTACCATCCACGGCAAAATCAAATAATTTAACACGTGTTGTTTGAGTGACGACGATCACGGTATCGGTGGCGACCCACGGCTCCACCACCCAGCCACTCATCAAGAGTTGTGGCCCTAGAGGGCCTTTCTCGACTTCAACTGCTCCTGGGTAATCAAACTCGTCCTCGGAATGAAACATTCGGGAATATTGGAGCTGTCGACATGCAGTCACAAGTCCACGTCGCTTACACAGTCGCCCGTGCGAAGCATCAATGCGTTTAGTCAGCAAAATCTCATCTCTTCTTCATACCACTCGAGGTCTTTTTGGCACAGCATTGGGGTGCAGTCTTCCAGTGAGGTTGACATCTTGCACGACACTCCTTGGAGTTAAATTTGCATCGCGCTCGCAAACACGACTGCGCCGCGGCACTGCCCGGCCGCCTCTGACAAAAAAAATGGCTTCCTAGTGCATGGCGTCATCGCCATTCGTGCTAGCTCCCTACTGGTCCACTTTTTTGTGGTAGGTACAACACACTATCGTTAACAAGATGAAAATGGAAGACAGCAAAACTAGTTTTTTTATAGTTCTTGAAAAACACCTTTATGGTATTTTCTTAGAACTCTGAAGCAACAAATTGAACTTTTCATAATTCCTTCTTTTTTTTTTTGGCTTGGTGATTGTAATGTTTTAGATTTCTTTGTTTGGCATTAATCAAATTCCAGTTGCTAAGTTACAAGGAAGAGATGGGCAACAAGTCATCTTCTCCAGGACCACCACCATCAAAGCCAAGTGACAGTTCTGAGGTTAACAAAGCTGAGGTAGGTGTGTCATTGAGTTGTGCTTGAATTGGCACTGTTTAGCAAAACTGTTCCACACTAAAGGCAACTGCTTGACCCCCCCCCCCCCCCCCCCCCCAAAGAAAAGACCCTTTGTTGACACTGCGTGACGCACAATATCTGAAACTCTGAAACTATTTCAAAGGCACATATGTACAATAGCAGTGATGATTTATTTTGGCATTGCCTCTAAAATGGGGTGGCATCACTTATAATTGGCTAACCTAGCTGCGTTAATTAGGCATCATGTACAGGTGCCCCAAAAGTAAAATGGAGCGTGCGAGCTGTGGCCATACTACATAAAACTGCATGCCAGCACGTTTTGTCAGAGAAGTGGTCCTTTATTTATAAATAGAAAATTTCCAAATGATAGTGCCATTTTTTCCATTTATAGATAAATAGCGTCTTCTCAAATATAGCTCGCTGGCATGCAGTTTCGCATAGTTAGGCTAGAGCTCGCATGCTGCATTTTACTTCTGGGGCACCTGTACTGATTATTTGTGGGTACGCCTCCCTCACCTTTTTTTCTCTTTTCAGTAAAATATTAATCTTTGTATTGTGCTGCTACTTATGCACACAAGAACTGGTTCTATCAATTTTCATTTTTTACCGGATACTCCAAGTGTTCTTGCTCATCTTGATTGCTGACTAGTCAAGTTTTTATCTGCTTTGCATCTCATCTCTTCAAGATGACAGATGTTCCCTGTGAGCCTTGCTGTGTAATTAGCATATCATTCCATAGTATTGTGCCGAGTCATTTCTGAGAAGGCTTTTTCTGCCCTTTCTCATGCATCTCTCAATAAATGAGGCACATTTGGTGTTTTACCAAAACCTTGCTTCTGCAAATTAGTCAAGCAGTTTTTCCACTCTATATTTCCACATAGTTGCTGTTAAAAACTCTGTTGGCTATGTTTTCTGATAATTATTTCCTTTGTTCTTTTCATCCTCTGTCATTGTCTCTAACATGCTTTTGAACCAGCATAAATTGACATGATAGATGATACTGTAATACTTCATGATACTGGTGTGATACTTTAGTACAATATAAATAATATCAAAGAAAATATTGTTACTCAACAAGGTCCCTGTTAAAGGGGCACTGAATCATCTTCAAAGTAATGATTGATTCACGCAGACAAGTGAAGTTATGGGGATTCATCGCATGTTTTAGGCATGTTCTCCTGTCCCAACAAGAGAAAATGGCCGCATCATGCTCCGCTAGGGAACTGTCTTTGCCATGCATGACTGCAAGGTTTCGCTCAGCTGTTAACAGCAGTATCGGTTTTCCACTGTATGTGCTTTTTTACCAAACATGAGGTGTGGTTCTGAACCCCTTTGAATGACACTTCTTGAAACTGGAGAATCAAGGTGTCAAGAAAGTGAATGAAATGGGGATGCATTGGGGCTTAATGTTTATTTTTTCCATTCACCTTCATCTCGTAAGTTCTCTGCATGGGTGTCTCAGATCTTAGTGTCCTGGCTACCACGTCTTTGCTCTATGCACTTATGGCAACTTTTCATGCTATGCGTCTATCAAAAGGGCTCGAGAGCCACAAATGAGTGGTAGGAGGACATACAGGATACATACTTTTGAGTGGACAAATGCTCAGAATGCTTTTCCATAACTGCAATTCATATATTGCTATGTACAATAAAGTTTCCTATTTTTGTTGTAAAACTATGAATGCATTTTGTTAAGCAATGTATGTAGCTTTTGTCATGATGGATCTTTTTGCAATTTGTGGTAAGAACTAAAAATCGAATGATTACTTTTGTATTGTTGCAGTCTGAAGTGAAATGCTATATACCTACCCAATTATCCTATCAGCAGCTGAAAGTAGGCATTAACAAAATTGTCGTTTGCAGGCAATAAAATTTGCATAAGTTGTCTCTTTCTCAGTTGCTTCATTCTTCTGAAGGGTTTCCAATCTTAAGTTGCATGTTTGGTACTTCAATAGGAAAAAATTTGTCTGACCATAAGTATTATATAATCTAAGTATGCTTCCTGATTGAGGTGCCAAGCTTGCTGTGTTAAAGACATGTTTTTTGCATTGGTCATTGTTTCAATGCCCTGACATCTCGGGTAAGTTCTAGTTCATTCATTTTTATAAAAATAATCTTTCCTTCCTTTAAATGACTAGTGCTAATTTCATATTTCTGTAATAACTTTCAGACTATTATTCAACCTCTAAATAGCTTCTCAAGTGCAGCAGGCACTTCATCATGGTAGTTATGAACATTTTTTTTTTATTTCCTGAACTTCTGTTGATTGATATGTGGGGTTTAACGTCCCAAAATCCTGAACTTCTGTGCACATTTATTTAGAGAGAGTGTAGCTGTTCACAGGGAAGTTTAAGGTCTGAGTGAAAAGTTGTTGTTCTTTATAAAGTTAACAACCCTGATGTTGATAAAAGCAAATGCATGAATATTTTATTCACAGTGAGAGAAATGATGACCTGCATCGATTACTTTTATTTTTGAGTTGACATAGAATATTAGTTGAATGATGTGAGCCTTTGCCACTTTTTAATGTCTTTGACAAAACAGTATGAGCAATACAGTGGAAATGTTTATGCTTGTAGAATAGTGTACTTTCTGTGCAGGCTTTATTTTTATATTCTTGCTGTTGCTTAGTGTTGGCTAATGGAAAGAAATGTTAATTCAGTTTCTCGAATACATAGTTCTTAATTTGTTAAAAATTTGCAAATCCAAATTTTTGTAGTTTCTTTTTGTAATATAATTCATGGATTCCTTCCTGAAAAAAAAAAAGAAATGAAAGTGTTTAGAAAGTTTTCATATTCAAATCGCCACAATTTGCTCATGTGCCCCCCTCCTGCCTCTAAAAAAAAATCAGCAGAATCCTGTACAAATGCTGTTGCATCCAGATAGCTATGGACTATAAAGATAGGATGAAAGACTAAGGCGCATTCTACACCATGTGTTCCGTCTTCTTACCTACTCTGTGTTGGGAGTGGTATTTATTCTGTAACAACAAAGCAATACGTAAAGGTGTTTAGCATTTACTTAGCAGATGCCCGAACTGATTCAGAACAGAAGAAAGGGAATGCTTTGAGGGGCTTAATATTTTGCTTCACACAACCTACTGAAGCCAAGGAACGTATAGAGGACATCATTTGTAGTTTTTAAGTGTAGCATAGTAATTGTGACGTAAATGGAAGTGGATTAAAGTGGACGAACAAACATCTTTGCCCTCAGTGGGGCCCAAACCCACAACCTCTTAACTTGTGCGCTTGACACTCTGGCAATTGAACTTTGATAGTGGCTTCCTTTCGTTCATCTCCAAGTAACCACAGATATATGGTAGGCATATGACAGAACGTACAGTTAGGATATTCCGGACATCCATCAGACGTCCACAGATGTACACTGTACGTACGATGGGCGTAAATCGAATGTACAAAGGTAACAAATTCGTACGCTCACTCAACATCCCTCTAGGACAGCCAACATAGACATTGACAGGCCCTTTAGAATATATATATATATATATAAAATGTTTATGTGTATATAGGTAGTGTATATTCAATAAAAACCTTTCATGTGAACAACGTACCCACGCAGCCTCGGAGGCCCTTCTTTTTCCGACGGGAGCTTTTCTTCTGCACATGAATTCTCAAAAAAAGTGCAGTCCAAGCGGGCTTTCTAGAACAATCAAACCTTTATTTCAACTTATATCAAGGTTAAGAAGCACATAAATTACAGTCCGCAGCCACGATTGTGAAAGTGTGTACGTAGTCTTACAAAATTTCACTGTTCACTGCCCTTCTGCCTTCAAGTCCGATGACTTCTTAGGCGGCAGCAATTGCTTCTTGCAGGTTTACTAAATTATTAGCAACAACCCCAGCTCGTGCAGGTTTATGGCAATGTTATTTTAGTAACTGCAATACGTACATACAGACAAGCACAGGAGAAAAACTAATGGGTGTAGTACACGCCTCTAAAAGAGGTGCAGAAGCACTGGCCATGTGCTCGTCCTAAGTCGGCTAATAGCAAGGAATATGCGAGCAAATGAAGAACTGAAAACATGCTACGTATTAGCAGGACATACAAATGATAGGCAATAGTTAACGCATGATAAGAACAGATAAATGTCCGATATGAAATGTAAAGAACAGATATGTAACACATGGCCTTATCTGTGCCGTGTGAGTAAGCGGGGTGGCTGCTGCTTGCCGTAGTAATCTCAGCCGAGAACAGTGGTGGCCTCGTGTCGCGTTTCGGTGTTTCTTGTCGAAGAGTCATCCTTCGTAACTTCACATGTTGCTGTTAATGTCCACACGGGCGCACTTAAAAAAAAAAAAAATAAAATCTGCCTTCTGCCGCAAGGAGCCTCGGAGACCAGCTCAGCATACACACGTGCGACACGACACGAATACTCTCCTTTCCCGCGCTCCTTCCTACTGCGCGCCGCTGGTCAAGCAGGTTTCGGGACAATAGGCACAATGGCATGCGTTTTGTTCCAACCCATCCAGAGAGGCAAGGCTAGCATGACGTGTACGTTCAAGGAATGTGAGCAACTGCGGTGCACCGCTAGTTGAGAGGTGTCGAGGCTGGCGCATGAAAGTTTGCCTACATGATGATGGCTATAACGCTCTCGATCCGCATTTTTGTCAGTTCACTTGCGATAATCATAACACCAAATAAATCGTTTCTTATGACATACGATACACATACTGAATCAACCAGATTGTTTTGCCTCATGAAGCAAAATTATTGGGCATCCTGGGATCAAATGCATGTGCCGAAGTTTGAATGAATTTTACAGTACAATTTTTAATGAAACTTTACAAGATTGTCACCCAGGATTCCGCAGATCTATTTATATTTTCACTATATTCTAATTTTACAATCGGCATCATCATCAACCTGACTACGTCCACTGCAGGACAAAGGCCTCTCCCATGTTCCGCCAGTCAACTCGGTCCTTGTTCTGCCAGTCAACTCGATCCTGTGCTTGCTGTTGCCAATTATTACCCGCAAACTTCTTAATCTCATCTGCCCACCTAACCTTCTGTCTTCCCTAACCCGCTTGCCTTCTCTGGGAATCTAGTTAGCTACTCTTAATGACCAGCCGTTGACCTGTCTACGTGCTACATGCCCGGCCCAGGTCCATTTCTTCTTCTTGATTTCGACTATGATATTCTTAACCTTGGTTTGTTCCCTAATTCACTCTGCTCTCTTGTTGTACCTTAAGGTTACACCTACCATTTTCTTTTCCATTGCTCACTGCGTCGTCCTCAATTTAAGCTGAACCCTCTTTGTAAGTCTCCAGGTTTCTGCTCCGTAGCTAAGTACCAGCACACTGCAGGTGTTATATACCTTCCTCTTGAAGTATAGCGTCAATCTACCTGTCATGATTTGAGAGTGCTTGCCAAATGTGCTCCACCCCATTCAAATTCTTCTAGTTCAAGGCATTCCTCAAACGTAGAAAACACAATGACGTCGTCAAGGTATACTAGGCAGGTTCTCCATTTAAGCCCAGAGAGCATGGTATCCATGAGACACTAGAAAGTAGCAGGAGCGGAGCACAAGCCAAATGGTAAGACCTTAAATTCGTACAGTCCGTCCGGCGTCACGAAAGCGGTTTTTTTCACGATCTCTGGGGTCGACTTCAATTTGCCAATATCCACTCTTTAAGTCCATAGAAGAGAAGTAACGTGCGTTTCGAAGCCTGTCGATCGAACCCTCTATGTGGGGAAGCGGGTACACTTTTTCTTTTGTAACCTGATTTAGCTTTCGATGGTCCACACAGAAACGCAGGCTGCCGTCCTAGTCTAGAACAACAGGTGACGCCCAAGGGCTTTTAGACTGTTGAAACACGTCGTCTTCAAGTATTTTCGTTACCTGCTGTTCTATCGCTTCTCGTTCTTTTGAAGCCACACAGTACGGATTTTGATGGATTGGTCTAGTCGTGTCCTCTGTGATGATTGGTCAAAGACGTCCGGACAACATTGGTGGTCGACGCAAAACAGTCGTGGAACTCGGCTAGCAGCCGAAGTAGGCATTCTTGCTGTTGCTGAGTTGAAGTAGGGCTGTCGTCAAGGTTAGGTGCTAGGTCATGTGGGTCTTGTGTAGGCGTTGCTTCGAGTGCTGAAAAGCAGTCGCAAACATCTGCTATCTCGTCAAAATATGCCAAAGTTGTGCCTTTTGGAAGTTGCCGTCGCTCGGAGGTGAAATTGGTCAACAAGCAAGTTCGCTCGGCCGTCGGTGACATTGACTATTCCTCGTGCTACTGAAAACACGTGAGTGAAAAGCAGCGAGGTTAGTTGGTTGGCGACTCCTTCACTGTCGAACAGTACGTCGCATGCTACTGAAACAAGGATACATGATCGAGGCGGCACGACTATATTGTGGTCTTTGAGACTAAAGGATTTGTGCTCTGGTGATGAAGAATCAGTCTGACGAGCACTCTCCTAAAACGAAACCACGCGGTCTGGAATGTTGATTATTGCGCCATGTTCTCTGAGAAAGTCCATTTCTACAAATAAATTTTTGCATCACTCTGGGAGAACGATGAAAGTCGCGACGAAAGAGGAATCTCTTATGCTGAATCTTTCTGTGCATCTTACAGTAGGGAGGAGCAATTGACCACCCGCTGTTCTTATATGTGGTCCTGTTCACGGCGTTTTTACTTTTCTAAGACGATCGACCAGCTTGTGACTTAGGGAAAAATCAGCACCTGTATCGTCTAAGGCTGTCACTTGTTCTCTATCGATAAGTACATTGAGATCGGCGCTCATCGTTTCGTTGCGATTAATATTCGTCGGTGTCGCGTCATTTTGTAGCGGCGGTACTGGAGACTTTTTATCGTCTTTTGGTCGGGCTGCGACCTTACCCCGAGAAGTTGCTGCCTTTAGTATCCCCGGTAAGGGCTGGGTGACTTGTTCTCCGAAGGTCAGCAAAAGTACGTCGATTCGGTGATGATGTCTGTGCAGGGGATGAAGAGCGTGACCGGCGGCCGGAGTTGGGCTGGCGATTGGGAAGGGACTCGTGATAGGGAGACCACATCGTTGGAGGTCCTCGAAAACGAAGACGTCATGGCCAACAATGTAGTCAGCATTGGCACGGCGACCGTCATACCCTGGCCGAGATGGACAAAGCGATGTCGCGTTACCAAAAATAGCGAGCTATATGGCCGGCACAAGCACAGTTGAAGCAGAAGGGGTGCTGATCGACAGTGCGCCAAGCGTCTGTTCTGCGAAATTGTAGACGTCCCATGTCGTCTTGTGGTGGTAAGGTACGGCAAGTGATGGCTGGTGGCATGAAGACATTGGAGACATGGGCCCACGTCTGCAAGCCTCCTGCAAAGGTTGCGACGAAGATGCAGCTGTAGGTGGCTGGTGGTATGACGTGATAGGCGGGACGGGTGGTGGACGGCGGACAGTGTCGGCGTAACTCATTTGGCGCTGCTCGCGACCGAGATCAACTGCTGAGAAAGCGTGCCTAAGTTCGTCACGAACGACTGCAGCAACTGGGGTCACTGGTGTATCCACTGGCGGAGTCCAAAGCTTCTGAATTTTTTCTCGGACAATATCTCTAATCAGGTCACGTAGAGAGCTTTGATTGTCCAGAGTCTCTGAAGCGGCGTTGATTGAGGTGGTAGTAGACGAGCGATCATACTGCCTCGATCTTTGGTGCAGAGCACACGCAATGGCAGTGGCTTCTCTTATAAAATCGGCCACGGTAGTTGGGGCATTGCGCACAAGTCCGGCGTAAGATTTGTTCCTTCACGTCGCGCATAAGGTAATGCAACTTCTTTTCCTCAGACATATTTGGATCAGCCCGACGACATAGGCGCGTCATGTCTTCAGCAAACATTGCCACAGTTTCGTTAGGTTTTTGAAGTCTTAACTCGAGCAACTGCTGAGCCCGCTCTCGACAGTCGACGCTAGCAAAGGTGTCAATCAGCTGCTGACGAAACTCATCCCATGTCGATACATGGCCTTCTCGATTCTCAAGCCACGTGTGACCGCTGTCATCAAGAGCCAAGTGCGTGCGGGTGAGCTTCTGTTGAGCATTTCACTGTTTGATGTCGGCGATGCGTTCGTAATGCTCAAGCCAATCTGGAACATCTTCATGTGGGGCACCACTGAAGCGATCAGGTACAAGTGGCTGAAGAAGTGTTGCCTGGGCTGGATTGGAAATGGGGCTGCCTTGTATGCCTTGGACCACCTGTGGCTGGCTGGCGGGCCTCCATTGGCAGAGGTACGAAATGGCTGGTAGAATGTTCGTCTAAAGAGGTTATCTCAGGAGAGAGGCCTAGCAAGCGTCGACTGAAGCGGTGCACTGATGTAACAGGTGGCTGCGTGTCGGACTTTGATGAACGGCTCCCAGATGGGGTGTAAAGCATGGGCAGGCTTGCAATCCAGCACCTCCACCAGTGTCGCGGTTCAACGTAAGCAGATCACCGAGACATTGAATTCGAGTACCGACGGCGTGTGTGTTGTTATGCAGGAGCCAAGAGCAAGAGACATAAACAAAAGCACATTGTCTTTTTCACTGTCCCTTTTCATGAAACTGTTGGCGCGCACATAGTCTTCGTTCTCTGTCTATTTCAAGTGCGGCAAGATATATATATATATATATATATATATATATATATATATATATATATATATTATCCTTCCCAGAAAAAGTTTGGGGGCAGCAGCCCTTAGTTGAGTGTATACAGTAGTTTTTTAAAGCATTCAAAACCTAATGATAATATTCAAAGTGGTGGCTATATATGTGCAGTATGATGATAGCTCCCAACAAATCAAAATGAACAGTGTAAACGTGTGTGTCAGTTACCTTCTGCCTTGCACCTGCTGTTGAAAAGTGTTTGTGTAAGACTATCAGTTGACACTCTTATGGCATTACCAGACTTACAGTTAGCAAAAGTAGAATAAGAATGACATGCATAGCATGTGTGAAGAGCCCCTCTATGGCTGTCTGTTATGAAAGTAAGTTTTTTGCTATATTTTTAGCATACAAGAGACACCATGTTTATAAATGTTATTACATTAGCTGATTGTGTAATGGAAGAATGAAACTAGAAGCTTTAGTATGCTTCACTGCCACCGATTAATTTCTCAGATATCAACCATTGTGAATCCCTTGCTCCAAGCACAGGTTAGTGGGAAATACCCTCTGGTGCATTCCCGTATTGCGACAACTTGCCGGTTTGTGTACAAACACCTGTACTGTAAAAAATTTAGAGACCACCAACTTGGACTACATTTTATGCTAACATGTTCACCACCACTTTTTAAAAGTTTTAAGAAATGTTTTTTTAGCTTGATGTTGGCATAACCTGACATAGCAAAAATTTAATTTCCGATTTATGACTGTGTGACACAGTTACTTTTGATGGCAGTCAAGCCTGATCTGGATCATGTTTCTTGATCATGATTGGCTTCTTTAGTCAAGCTGCCAAAAGGAGCCAGGCACAGCTGACAAATTTGACCCCGTTATGGTTTAATCGCGATCAGCAGAACACTGTGTGACAACGGTAGTAGTTTTGGTGGTCAAGTGAAGAGCCAGTGTAATTTAGTTCGAATATGTTGTTTTACAGCAGCCAACACATCAAAAAGTTTCTGTTAACACGAAATCATCATCTCTGGATGCTGACCCTGGTGGAACTGAGGAGGAAGAAGTTTGCGAGCTTCCGCCTCCTATGGAAATTCAGGATCATCTTTTTAAGCCTCAGCAAACTCCAGACTTCACTATTGATCCTGCAGTGAGTGTTCTTTAAGACATATTGTGGTATTGTGACCATAATTAATTCACTACAGGATGAGGTTTCTTCCAGTCATTTTATATAACACTTTTTCTGCATAAGCTGGATCATTTATGTGCTTGTAGATTTGATGATCCGACCACCTTGCTTCATTTTATTTTCTTTCCTTTGATTCGGGGTCTCACGGCCGCCATTGTATCACTTGGTGTTTTTCAGTGCACGCATACCATATAGTTGCGTATTTTTGCGAGGGTCCTGCCAAGCTTCATACAGGAGTTTCTGCTCTGTAAACTATTATTATTATATTAGTATTAGTATTATCCTATAGATTGGTGTATGTGTATACATCAACCGTATATGTTTTCAGGAACCTGATGAAAAGGCATTAGCTGAAGAAGCTGAGGATGCATCAAAGGAGAAGCAGGTATGGCAGTTTTTGAAGCTTGCATGCCTTGCTTTTTCATATACACATGTGCAGTAAAACTTCTTCACTAGAAAGCTTGTTAACTCATATCTCTCATACTTTGTTATTTGCTTGCCTCCTTGCTGTTGCCTAGCAAAATGTTTAAAAAAAATGTTGCTTCTCTGCAGCCTAATAGGGGGCTGAAATCGCATTGAAGCAATTTTTTCCTCAAGCTCATTTAACCTATTTTAATCTAGCTACATCCTACATCCTAGCACCTACATCCAGCCATGATGACGCTTCAGTTGAAAGCTTCTGTGAAGACGTGAAATCGGCAATGAGTAAGGTAAAAACACAGTATACTATAGTGATGGGAGACTTTAATGCAAAAGTAGGGAAGAAGCAGGCTGGAGACAAGGCAGTAGGAGATTATGGCATCGGTACTAGAAACGCCAGAGGAGAGCTACTAGTAGAATTCGCAGAACGCAATAATTTACGGATTTCGAATACTTTCTACCAAAAACGAGGAAACCACAAGTGGACATGGAGGAGCCCTAATGGAGAAAATAAGAACGAAATAGACTTTATAATGAGTGCACACCCAGGCATCGTGCAGGATGTGGAAGTGGTTGGCAAGGTACGATGCAGTGACCATAGAATGGTACAGTCTCGAATTCGCCTAGACTTGAAGAAGGAATGACAGAAACTGATACGCAAGAAGCCACAATGAGCTAGCACTGAGAGGGAAAGTACAGGAATTGAGAGTGTCGCTTCAAAACAGGTACTAGGCTCTTAGTGAGGAAACCAACCTTAGCGTAGATACAATGAATGATAATCTGACGAGTATCATTACAGAGTGTGCAGTGGAAGTTGAAGGCAGGGTAGTTAGACTGGACACTGGCAAGCTTTCCCAGAAAACAAAGAATCTCATTAAGAAGTGCCAAATCATGAAAGTCTCAAGTACAACAGACAAAATAGAACTGGCAGAGCTTTCGAAGTTGATTAATAGGCGTAAGGTATGCGATGTAAGAAGGTATAACATGGAGAGAATTGAACACGCTCTGAAAAACGGAGGAAGCGTCAAAGCAGTAAAGAGGAAACTTGGGATAGGCAAATATCGGGTGTATGCACTAAGGGACAAAGAAGGCAAAATAACTACCAATATGGATAAGGTAGTTAAAATAGCGGAGGAGTTTTACAGAGATCTGTACAATAGCCGGGACAACCACGACCTTAATACTATAAGAACTAGCAGTAACCCAGATGACACCCCACCTTTAATGATAGAAGAAGTCAGAAAAGCTTTGGAGAGCATGCAAAGAGGCAAAGCTGCTGGTGAGGATCAGGTAACATCAGATCTGCTGAAAGATGGGGACAGATTGTGTTAGAAAAACTAGCCACCCTGTTTACGAAGTGTCTCCTGACGGGAAGAGTATTAGAGTCTTGGAAGAACGCTAACATCATCTTAATACATAAGAAAGGGAATGACAAGGGCGTGAAGAATTACAGGCCGATCAGCTTGGTCTCTGTAGTATACAAGCTATTTACAAAGGCAATTGCTAACAGAGTAAAGAAAATATTAGAATTCAATCAACCAAATGAACAATCAGGATTTCGAACAGGCTACTCAAAAATTGACCACATTTATACTATCAATCAGGTAATAGAGAAATGCTCAGAATATAACCAACCACTATACATAGCCTTCATAGATTACGAGAAGGCGTTTGATTCAGTAGAAATATCAGCCGTCATGCAGACACTGCGGAATGAGGGCGCCGATGAAGTGTATATAAACATTCTGGAAGAAATCTACAGGGGATCAACTGCTACCATAGTGCTTCATAAAGAAAGCAACAGAATACCAATCAAGAAAGGTGTAAGGCAGGGGGACACAATCTTCCCAATGCTATTTACCGTGTGCTTACAGGAGGTTTTCAGAAGCCTAGAATGGGAACAGTTAGGGATAAGAGTTAATGGAGAGTACCTTAGTAACCTGTGCTTCGCCGATGAGATTGCATTGCTGAGTAACTCAGGGGACAAATTGCAACTCATGATTATGGAGTTAGACAAGGAGAGCAGAACGGTGGGTCTTAAAATTAATCTGCAGAAAACGAAAGTAATGTACAACAACCTCGGAAAAGAGCAGTGCTTCGAGATAGGTAATAGTGCAGCTCAAGTGGTAAAAGAACATGTTTACTTAGGGTAGGTAATAACCGCAGAGCCGAACCATGAGATTGAAGTAACTAGAAGAATAAGAATGGGGTGGAGCACATTTGGCAAGCACTCTCAAATTATGACAGGTATATTGCCACTATCCCTCTAGAGGAAGATATATAACAGCTGCATCTTGCCGATACTTAGCTACAGAACAGAAACCTGGAGACTTACAAAGATGGTTCAGCTTAAATTGAGGACGACGCAGCGAGCAATGGGAAAAAAATGTAGGTGTAACCTTAAGAGACAAGAAGAGAGCAGAGTGGATTAGGGAACAGACGGAGTTAAGGGTGTCATAGTTGAAATCAAGAAGAGGAAGTGGACATGGGCCGGACATGTAGCGCGTAGACAGGATAACCGCTGGTCATTAAGGGTAACTAACTAGATTCCCAGAGAAGGCAAGCGGGTTAGGGGGAGACAGAAGGTTAGGTGGGCAGATGAGATTAAGAAGTTTGCGGGTTTAAATTGGCAGCAAGCACAGGACTGAGTTAGCTGGCGGAACATGGGAGAGTCCTTTGTCCTGCAGTGGACGTAGTCAGGCTGATGATGATGATGATGAATCTAGGTGCACTCGTTAAAACTTTTGACTTGTCAGGTTTTTACATGGCATTGAAACTTGATGCTTTTGTGTAAATATACGTTACAGAACAAGGAAAGCAGCAGCCACCAAATTCAATGTGATAATTAGAAGCTGGATAACTGAAATAGTCACATTTGCATAGGGAGTAATGTGGGGGAATAAGGCTAGGGGGTGTCAAGTGTGCAACAAGAGCTTGTTGCACATTTGACACAAAATGGATGCCAAACTGTTTGCTATGCTATGTAGTGCAAAATTTCCTAGAAGATGAGGCTATAATTTTTCAGATGCACTTCAGATGGCCGAGGGTTGGTTGCACCGAACCAAACTGAAAAAGCATCGTGAGGCACTGCTTAGGGTCGTGTTATGTTCAGTAAATACTGCCTCATGAAAAGTGTTGCACCTATGTGCGTGATAGCTGTACTGTTAAACAATTGGTTATGAAAAGAGTTTCTCTCTCCTCTCCCCCTCTATCCACTGTAATGTGACAAAATTTGGCACAGTTTTGAAAAGATTGTTAAGAGGCTGTTTTCTCTCTGTCTCTCTCTCTCTTTCTTTATTTTTTGTACCAGCGCAGTCAGGCTCGCATTGCTTACATAGTTTCGTAAATATAGAACTTGAGTAAATAAATTGCGAAGGATTCATGTACGTTCCAAAAAAAGTCTGTAGATCCTTTTTGTTAATTGCACATGTCTTGCGCAGAAACCGTCAACATGAAAAAATAGCTTGAAACATCGGCTGTGTGAAAGCAGGAGCCTTCCAATACTGCCTGTCAGACATAGAAGTTCATGCCGCAGTTTCATCACTTTTTTCTGCCACACTGAATTTTGAGTGCACTTTTGGTGCAGGCACTGATCACTCAGGATGATGACTCTGAGACCACAACTTCTCAAGAAGATCCACACGAAGGAAGCCTTGAAACAACAGTACCTGATGGCAGAGAAAGGGAGAAATCCTTGCAAAAGCGCAGGCAAGTACAGCTTACGAATGTGAAGTATTCTGTGTAGTCATTACAGGCAGGGCAACATCATAGACTTCATTCAGTTATGTTGAAAACCATTTACATACAAAAAAAAGGGACAAGGAAAGTGCCTTTCGTTGTAGATGAAATGGTGTACACTTAATACAAAACTTGTGGGTTTGGATCCCACCGTCGAAAAGGGAGATTTTTGTCCACTTTTAATTTTTTTAAATTTGAGCGAGAATCATTACAATGAACCGTAATTATTCGCATAATTTGCACACTTTTTCTTGCAGTTTTGGAGCTCCAACAAACAAGTGCACAAATTACATGGAGATTTTGCAAACGCATTCAGAACATTGTGTAATAGTATATACAGTACACTCTCAATAAACAGAACCTGAAGAGACCAGGAAAGTATGCTCTGTTTAAGAGGAGTTTCATTTACTGAGTGATGTAGAGTTGGAAAATACAAAAACGAAACCAGTTTTGCCAGAAGCACTTGTTTTGTTAAAGCAGCAGTTTCGTTTACAGGGGTGGAAGTGCGGCGTAAATTGCACCATTCTGAGACAATCTGACCCGCTGCGTCAGACTGCGCATAAACAGCAATTTCCACCATACTTATCGATTGGAAGTGTGAATTGCCAAATCTAGCTGATTATCGTCGGCCGAGCAACACTGAGCGTTGGCTACACGAAGGACTCGGCCACATCCATATCCAGTGTAGTTCGATGGTTCCATCATGTTGTATTTCGGTTTATTCAAGGGGCTTGCTTGTGCTTGTATCGTCACTGTTATCACCGTGGTTTCCTCGCAAAAGTGTTGGCACCAACACGAGTAGCGGTCAGTTGTCTAATAATGCGGTGGAACCTCGATAATTTGTACCAGCTGGGAATGCGGCATGATCATGCACAAAAGGGCAGTGCGCTTTTACAAGTACAAATTAGATTTTCTTGGCATGCACCATCGCCACCAATAAACAAATACAGTACCACAGCAGATGTTGCCCGAAGTGCCCACCAGAAAGTTAATTGTTCCATTTTGGCGAAGGGTAAAAAATATGCTCGGCTGGCACTCTTGAATGATCATTTCATAGCGCGCAGTGGCATTGCATTTCGAAACTATTACAGGGTCCGGGATACGCAGCGACTGTGATAGTGACAGCACGGACACGTGTGCGCTTCTCTACCGCGATCTGATACTAAGCGACAACTGACCATTTGATAGAAATATGGAGCGGTCGCGCGGACTTGATCATCTTGTGGTTAGTTGCATACAGCGCGGCGCCAATGGCCGTTGCGCAACCGCTGCCTGGCAGCTCGTTGTAACATGCGCGTGGATTCGCCGTATGAATTGCTCTTCCTCAATCTTCTCTAGACCGAACACATATGAGGATAACATATCAATCTTCTCTAGACCAAACGCAAATGAGGAGAGTAGTGTGTTTAATTAGCGTGAGGATAACAGACTTCCACCAAGACAAGTGCGCCGTGATTATCTAGTGATTATGAAAACAAGAGATAAGCACATGTTATCCCTTGTTCTCTCCGTGTTATTTCTCTGTCAGCTGTGATGTTTTATGATGGAAACTAACACACCCGCACACATTTGTGGGTATGGTAATGCTTAGTGAAAACTACTAAACATTTTTTACCACAACTAATTTCGATTGACGATGATGTTTGGCTTTAGAAGGTTGCTCCAAAACTAACTCACTTTGCTCTAAAACAGACCTTTTGGTCCTCCGAACATGCTCCAAAGCTCCCCTTTTACTGTGCCAATGCTGCTCCAAAATACTTAAGTCCACTTCCACCTTTTTGTTTAACAGATTTCTGTTTACTGAGAGGGTACTGTTGTCCCAATGTACATAGTATGTACATAAAGAGCATAATAATAAGTGTGAGCACAAACAAATTGTGGTTAATTTAACAGAATTAGCACATATTTTAACCAGCCGGATCCTGTCTAGTTGAAATCTCTGGCCAAGGAGTCCGATAGGGAATCATCGTCGCAGCTGCTGTCACTGCCTTCCCAAAATGCATCATCCTTGGTTCTGTTGAGAGTGTTTGAATGCCCCATTTTCTTGGAAGCTCCTCGCGATATGCCAGGAGAAACCAGGTCCCACAGCACAGTGATATGGAGGCTCTAAGCTTTTGCACACAATAGACTTCCTCAAGCAATCCCACAATGCCCCGCATGCACACGGAGCCCTATGGGAAAAGTTGGTACGCCGAGAGAACCGGCTCTTCCTCCGCCCTCTGCTCTTTGGCGCCATGAGAGCACAAAACGAAAAGAACATGCCGCCGCTTGTTGAATAGGGTCCTAACGCACCTGCGTTCGCACCTGTGATATGTACGCATGAAATGTGAAAGGAATATGCAGTCAGTCTAGCTATCACTGGACATCAAACGTAGAAGATGAGCGGCCGGTGAGTTGTTGCATACCAATACATGTGGTCAAAAATGCTATTGTGAGAATGTGAGCTGGAACACTATACGCATAGTGATTCAATGATGACCTGCTCATAAAGCGCTATGGTTTTTAATGCCATCGCGTTTTGATTGGGCCGTCAACAAAAGACTGCAGAGAAGTGTTACCGCTGTAGATTTTTTTTTATTAAAATTTTTATAGACGTGTCATGCACTGAAAAAAAGAAAAGTAAACACATTTTAAACATGTTTGAAGACGAAGAAATGGAACTAGAATCATGTGCGAGATACCTTGCTCTGATAATTTGTGGTTTCTTATCAGATGCATAAGTGTCTCTTCGGGGCATGTTTGCTGGCACTATATTCCGCATTAAGTGAAACCACTATTGAATTTTGCGTCGGCGCATTCAAATATTTTTTGAGGAATATTGATGTACTTACACTCGGTGAAGAAAAAAAAAAAAGCAAAGAAAACTTGGGCACTTTACATGAGCAATATTTTACAGCTGCAAGTTGGTGCGGTGTCCTGCCTACATCTTATTGCATCGGTTTATGAACAGCTCATTCGCACTGCAAACAACGATTAATTCGGACGACCTTCACCCCCCAAAGAAACTAGGAATATTGGAGTTACTTCATGCATCCGTTCTGCACAGTCTGAAAGGAAGTTCGTTAGCGATAAGAGATGAGGGTTGCATTTTCTACACCATAAGCTTATAGTAACATTTTTTCCGTAGAGCGCAAAAGGTCGCAGGAGTCTGCAGTGGGCAGAGAAAAGTACTATGAGAGGCTTGCCATTGTCCTTTCAATTGTTGTGCAAGAATTTCTAACCGAATTCCTTTTGTGTTCCCATATATACATCGGTAAAGTTGGTTGATGGATCAACACACGCATTGGAGAGCATCAAAATTCATTGAATGAAGCCATGTCATCGCACCTTGCATTTTCAGTCATGCAAATGCAATTTCATCTTTGAAGGTCTAGTCATTTTGCACAGTCACCTTAGCCAGACCACACGAGAAATCTCGGAGACATATCATAAAAATACCGCACCTTGTTTAAGTGAATTAACTTTTGCTATCGTTAAAATAGAAGATACTTAACTCTATTAATTAGCTATAAACATGCACCTCGGTTGTTAGTCTTTTTGTACCTTTTGTGACATGTGCAATGCACACCCATTTTATTATATATGTTTGTTCACATGTGCGATAACTTTCGGTCGTGAGTGAGCATTTCCGGAGTGCATATTTCTTTCCTGGTCCTACTTCTTTCTTTTTGCCCTGTAGGCTTTATTCCCCTGCCAAGGGAAGTTGGTAGATGCATATGCTGCGAGTGCCGCACAGTCAATGTATCTTGTTTTACGAAATTGCGCTTATTTTCATAGCACTCTTTAAATATACCAGAACCGTAATATTTACTCGTAAACAGCATCAAAGGACATTGATTCCTAATGCATTTGTGAATTTATGGACAGTGCTTGCACCTTTTAGGCAACCAAGTTGTACTGTTTTTATTTATGCCGAAGGTGAACTGACACTAAAAGATAGTAATAATTAACTAACGCTTCTTAGCGGCTCAGCTGGTTGAACAGGGGGACAAGTGCAAATCGTAGACAGGCCATCGCACCCAAACACTGAAGTTTGTTTGTGAATCGCTCAGTAATACATCACACCTTGCTGAGTTCACTTAATCTGACAAGCGCTGGCACAGTGCAGACGAAAAGCCAAAGGGTGAAGTTCGCGCTTGTCGCCGCGGCTGCTGCAGCGTACCAACTTTTCCCATAAGCACTTGTGCGCCCATTAGCGGTGCTAGTGTGCTTAAAAAAGGTCTGTTGAGAAGGTTATCTTCATTGGCAGAAAACTTTTGTTATCAAGTGTGCACTCTTCTGCTTTCTCTCGTATGTAACGTCACACGTTGAAGAACACACCGAAGTGCTTGGCAGCAGCACAGTTCCTGTTTTCTTTGGCAAACTTTATAACAGTGAGCTTAAATTTCGCTGTGTATGTAATCATTGTAGCTGATTGCAAGGGAACAGGAAAAATGCGACGGAGGGATGGCAAAACCTAATCTTCTGAACTTGTGAAATCAAACAAGCACGCGTTGCCGGGTGGATGCACAGAGCGAGGGGGGTTTAGGTTGGGGCTTTTGGGTACAGTGTTCTCGGCACCAATAGTTGGGGGGAAGTCCTCGGAAGAAGAGACTTTGAACTCGCAGCCGATTTTATGTATTTCTTCACACGCCGGCTCGCCAAGGGGTGCACTAGCAATCTGGCTCAGTTGGGTCGGGGAATGCAAAATATGCAAGTAATATTTTTTTAGTACAGTTGCCTAAGTATTAGGGGTGCGCAAATTATATAACAGTGCAAATTATGTAAGTAAATACAGTAGTTAAGAAACCACAAATGTCCCCTGTGCTTTTCTTGGCTTAATTGTATGTCGGTTTCATTAGTTGTGTATAAAAAAGAATGTATATAAAAATCGAGGGTACTGCCTGTGCTTCCAGGTTTATGCTGGCCTGCAACATGAATCACCCTTTCAAAGCACCGTCTGAGGTAGCATTTGCCTTGCCCAATGTTGCCCACCTTTACTGCTTGGCCACTGACACTAGTAGCAGCAGAGACCTAGTAGCAGAAGCCATAGCAGCAAAAAAAAGCCATCGAAGCTTCCCACAATGAATGTTTTCAGCGAACCTGGCAAGGCATTGGCTCACAACGATGGTGCAGAGGCACGGCACTCAGGCACTTTGTGCGTAGGGGTTTGTTTTGCGGCACCCAGGGAAAAGTCGCGTCTGTTTCTTTGCTACAGCTCAAGTTGCAACAACCATGTGCGCATTTGGCAATGTCACATGCGTGCGGCATTTCGTCGAAAATACCGTCACAGCAACTTTTGTAAGCGTGTAAAGCACGCTCACGTATGCCATGCTGAAACTATCAATGCGACGCATTGCCAGAACTAATCGTGGGGGTCAGGAGTGCCTAGCTCATGAGGAGGTAAAGAGATGTCATGTGACAGCGAGCATTCAGAACTTATTCTACCTGCTTATTGTATTCTAGAACGGTTGAAAATCTCAATAGCAAGGGGGTTAACCACAGTTTCACCCATTGCTGTGAAAGCAAGACTTTGAGCACAATGCGAGGAGGGCTATTGGCATTTCTATCACTTTACAGCATTGTTGGAGGACATTTAAGCAAAGCTCAGGTGCTTTTTCTGGTCAAAAAATACTAATAATAAAATAGCCACACACTTTTGTGTTAACTGATGCAGCTACAACCAATAAGAAGGGTAAGCATACTATTTTGCTTAAAAACTGGGTTAAGAAAATTCAGTTCTTGGTCCCTGGTATAGCATGGCAGCAGCAAGCGCTGGACAAGTCAAGGTTGATTGGCTGAGCATGGGAGAGGCCTTTGCCCTGCGGTGAGCAGAGTCAGGTTGATGATGATGGTTATTATTATTGTTATTTTGCTTTGTAGGCTTTAGCTATTTTAAGAACTGCTACAAAACCAGTGTACTGGGCTTGTGTGCCATTAGTGTTCAATTTTTGTTTGAAGGACCCTGAAATATTGCTTTAATGCTTAATCTCCAGCTTTGTGTTGAAGGAGCTTGTCGACACAGAGAAGCAGTATGTGACAGACCTTGGCTACGTTGTGGAGGTATGACATCTTTCTTTTTTATGCTGCTATTGTATAAGTTGTGCCAGAATGAACTAATTATTTCACTTGCCTTACAGGGATACATAGCTGTGATGCAGTCGGCGGAAGTGCCCATGCCAGAGGACTTGAAAAATGGCAAGGACAAAATCATATTCGGAAACATAGAAGCTATCTATGAATGGCACAGGGAGTAAGTATTTGTTCAGCTGCATCTAACAGTCATGCATTGTGTAACATTTAAATAATCATTGTTGTTGCATTTTGTTTCTTTTCAGCCTGTTTTTAGCTGAGTTAGAAAAATGCCTAGAAGAGCCAGAACGTCTGGGTTTACTGTTTAGGCGCTATGAAAGGAGGCTCAACATGTACGTTGTCTACTGTCAGAACAAACCCAAGTCTGAATATATAGTTTCTGAATACATCGATACCTATTTTGAAGTAAGTGTTTCTAACTTATTTTCTTGTGATATCATTTTTTGTCCTTTTATTTTAAAAATTTCTGGTGTCAGTCCAGTACAATATTGCATGCCGAACACGGATATATTGTGGAACAAAAGCTGAATGATGCGGAGCAAGGACAAGTGGACCCATGGCATCTCACTTGCATGCCATTGTCCTTGCTTTTGTGTCGTGTTTTTTTTTTTTTAAGCCACTGCTGTCATGCTTTTTAAAGTGGAGATTGCATAAAGGTGTTACACCAAAACCTCGGTGATACGAATGTCGAGGGGTCGTCGAAATAATGTCTATAATCTGTAATTTGTATTACCAGAAAGCATGGAAAATTTGTATGCAACAAAAGAAAGCTGGCACATGTCCTCATTGATATTTGCTCAGTGTCGCAGTGATGTCATGAACAGCTCCGATTGATGGCCAGTAAAGTTTTTAGTCGTCAGTGTTCATACTTCTAAGTACGCGGTGCATGTGCACGTGTGGAAATAATAAACTGAGATGCGTTATGACCTGCAACAGCCAGTACAGTTAAACCTTGATATAACGAAACTGATAAATTCCTGAAAAAATTTGTTATAAAGGGGATTTCTTTATATGCAGGTTTGGTATAAAAATTCGGAAAATAAATGCACAAATCAAACAAAAGGAGGGACTGAAGGCAGATTTAACCCAAAACACTTATCTAGCGGTAACAAACTGTGTTATTATTGCTATAGCAATTGTATGGACACTCTAGGTGGGTTTTTGCCATTGCCGTTATGTTTCGTAGTAAGTCTAAATTCATAATATGCCCCCGCGCATCGTAACATTTACAAATGAGGGGAAGTTGCTTGACTAGCAACAATGAACTTTGATTTTAAGGTTGCGTCGCGATCGCTGGCGCTCATGCTATTTGTGCAAGCATCAGCTGCGCTTTCAAGGCGAAGTAACTGTGTGAAAAGAGCACTTTTCCCTGAAGCGGCTGTATTTTCTTACATTACCATTTTGTAGAAGTTTGACACTATATGATTCAAAAGAGCTGGCTGCAAGTCTTACTTGATATAACATTACAATTTATTGCTCTTGCATTTATTGCATTGCACTCAACGCGCCGTCGTGTTGTTCCCAGAACTAATTGGCTAATCGCAAAGGCTACGAGCCTGTGAACTCGCGGCGTGGCGCAAGAATGAAGCACGTGAGCAGTCGACCCTCGAAGATCCGTTGTCCCTGTGGTCTCGGAATGCCTAATCCGATATCTTCTTGGTAGTGACGACACGGCTGTCTGCATTTAAAAAAAAGCAAGAAAATGATCAATGCTCAACGTTGTCCGCAGCCATATCATGTGCACGCAGTGAAACCATGCACTCCACACGGCGTCGAAAACGAACAGCAAACGACATGGACACGCACACGGATACCAAGGAAAACTATTCTTTGACGTAGCACTGCCAACGCAAAAGTATTTTTTTGTTGTTGTTGTTTGAGGGGGGCACATGCACGCATGCTCCCGCAGCGCCAAGAACAATGGCAACGCCGGCCTGCCTCACGGTCACCTGCACGCAAAGACGAGCGGTTACTCTCGCCTAGTGCACCGTGCACGCCGCTGCCGCTTCCCACTTTATCGGGGGCGGGGCACTTGCTGAAGATGCATGTTTGTACTAAAATGCCGAAATCTGGGGCCAAATTTCTAGACTGTCTGTGGGGAAAATTCATTGTATCAAGGTTGTGTCTTGCTATTACTTTGTTGCATAGCGGTCGCAAATACATGCTCTTCTATGGAGCAACGGGGGGGGGGGGGGAATAGAAGAAACTTCATTACATCAAGGTTTGTTATAAGCAGGTTTAACTGTAGCTGCTTCCTAATCTTTGCACATTTTTCCCCATGACAACAGAGTACTGCAAAGAAATTAACTGAAGTGCTGTGTGTGCAATAGATCAAGGCCAGAAAATTTTAGAACTGCTGTTCTTTGTTCCTCTGTTCTTACCGGGGTGGTGTTGGGGGCTGTTTTTTGGGAGATAAAGCTGTGCCTGCATAATCAAGACACTTGCTGAAAATGTGTAACTCTCCTGTGCAAATCGTAGGGTGGGCAGATGTGTGCATCTCTAACACCCATGCATGTTGCCGTTGTGAGAACTAGCTGCTTCACCAAGAACGTCTGTTATTTCATTCAGTCCTTCCTCGTATCACCGAGGTTTTACTGTATATTGCATATGACATGAAGAGTACTGATACATTAAAATTCAGTGCTTAAAAAATATATGTTAATTGAAATCCAATGCTTAAAATACCTTTTGTCAGATATTCTTTTGTACTACATACTGATATTGGCAAGTAACATTCTAGCTTTGCTTCATGATATATCTTCTGAATCAGTACATTTATCTTTATTGTATTAAGACTGAGCTGTAAGTGAGAAATGTTCACAAAGCATTAATTTTTAACTATTTAAAAAATATATATATATATATATATATATATATGTATATATATATATATATATATATATACATACAAATTTTATTGGTGAAGTAACTGTGAAAACAACTTTATAAGATAGGCAGGCACTAGCAGGTGATAAAGCATCGCTGAAATAATAATTTAAATGAAAACAAATGCCTAGGTGTACGCATGTTCAGTGCAGTAATATGTGGTAATGAATGGCATAGGTGGCTTAAAATATTTCATTTAATACTCTCTTTATTACTTTTTTGTTACTTTTATTAAAAAGAAATATTTCAGTTAACAAGTGCTCAATGTTTTATTAATTACTCATTGCTGTTTTTTCAAGTGTTTGTTTTTTTAATAATTGCCTTAAGTCTGTTATACGGTATTCGACGAGCGCCTGTGATGCAAGTGACATATATTAGAGGGTTCACATCGTGTTGTCCTAGTATGCATGTCATATTTTACTGCATCACCTTTTTTCTTACATTGCTGCAATGAATGCTTTGATTTCAGGAAATCCGTCAGAAGTTAGGGCACAAGTTGCAACTGCCTGATTTGCTCATTAAGCCAGTTCAGCGCATCATGAAATATCAACTCCTTTTGAAGGTATACAGGCTCAAACAAATCTGAGTACTTTGTGGCAGAATCTGTCTCAGTTGCCACTGTGGGACACACTTGTCTTGTTTTTCTTTCGGCAGGACATACTGAAGTACACTGAACGGGCACAGTTACATAAGGAGGCTGAGGATCTCCGAAAAGCCGTGCACATCATGCATGTCGTTCCAAAGGCAGCCAATGACATGATGAATGTGGGGAGGCTGCAAGGCTTTGACGTAGGTGCCCTTTATCAATGACCATTCTGTATTTTGCTATCCAAGCTTGCTAGTACTGCCTTATAACTCAATGTTTTTTTTTCTTCTTCTTCCAGGGCAAGATTACTGCCCAGGGTAAGCTGCTCCTTCAGGGGCTTCTTTTAGTGAGCGAGCCGTCAACGGGTGCCAAGTTTCGGGAACGTCAGGTGTTCCTCTTCGAGCAAATCATCATTTTAAGTGAAGCAGTTGGTGCAAAGACACCCTTTTCAAATCAAGCATACATCTACAAAAATCATTTGCAGGTGGGTATTTAAAAAAATCGGACTCACTTCTCTTTTCAAAGAAATCATGCATGGTTATTGCTATTTGGCATACAGAATCTGCTGATACACGGGCTAAAAAGAAAATATGATATGATATGATTTTACATGCTTTGCATACTGAGGACATACAAATTTTGTAGGGCAGTTAAATGCCTCAAGTAGCTAGAATGTGGTTGATTTTTTTTTTAAGCTGTTGAAAAAGGTCTTACCTTTATATCTGAGGTTAAGGGACACTTTCTTTTGGTCATTCACTGCTATGGCCTTGTAGTTCTTTATGCATATTTGAATAGTAGTAATAAAGCAGCTAAAAAAAACACTGTGAGAGATCAAGAGGTGTAGGATAAAGCATGTGCAATTTTTTTTAACTCATTCAGTAAGCCTGGGCTTGAAGTTTCTAGGATTGAGCACACTTTGTTTAGTTTTTCTTAAGTAATCGAGTCATCTCGCAACAGAATGAGTGGAGTGATGTACTTTTGCAAATGTGCTGTCATATGCTATTGCTGTTATTCTTTAAAGGTGCCATTCGTGGTGCAATGCACACTGCAATTAAAAGATCGCTGACAAAAAATTTTTGTCTTGCTTAGCGTATCGGCTAGCGACTGACATGATAAGTCAAGGTACAGTGCACCAGCTTATCAGGTGCGCTACAAATAAGTAATTTTGTTGCATTTTAATATTCTAAGAGCAGAGTTAACTTCATCAGCTCAGCACCCTTGTCACTGAAATATTTATGGGGCACTCTGTAGGACACGAGGGAAGAGATGCTAAAATGGCTAGTTTATATTCTTTGAAAAGGAAGAGCAGAGGAACTGGCCAAGGTGCAGAAATAGTTTTTTTTTTTTTAAATAGAGCATCCTTGTGGCACACAGCCCTGGGATATTTGCAAAACATGATCACCACTGCCTTCTTTACAAATGTAAGAAAAGCAGTGGTGATCACATTTTGCAAGCTTGTTTGGCAAGTCTAAAGAAAAGGTCTGGGGCTTCTACTGACTGTTTAATACCCCTGTCATGCTGGAGGTGTTAATGCCACTGGATTTAAATGTTATCGGTGCAATGAATGCCATTCAATGCGTGGTGGTGCTAGACAGGAAAAAGTAATGTCATTCGTTCATGGTATTGATGTCGATAATTGAAAAAAAAAAATGGCTGCAAAAGTTGAGGTAGGTAACGGTACATTGGTAGAAAAAAGAAGATATTTATTTCAAGAGACATCTGAGAAGTTGCTTTGCTAAACAAACACACATACAAACTTTATATTGCCATCGTAAGCAAAGAAGACGCAGTTAAAGAGTAGTCACAGCCGATAGAATTATTGATGAAATGAACACAAGCAACGTGGCTGACATGCAGAGCTGCTGAACAACAAGGCTAAGCTGCGGCAAGTAATGCATTTAGTAGCTTAGTTCTTGGCGTTCCGAAAAATGTGCATAAGCCAGACTAAGATATCTGATCACGAGATAAAAGAAGAATCGAGACGCAACTTGTTTAGTCTGTGCATGTAAAACAAGGCAAAATGCGTTCTCTAAGGCATGCACAGCGTGACAGGTAAATAAAAAAAAAAAATGGAAAAGAAACATACCGTGTCTATTGAGGTTTTATAGAACGCAAAGTAATAGATGCACACGTGGTATAGTTTGCCGTTCAAACGCACACTCACAGAAACCCAAAGCATTCAGCGTTTGTTTGCTTTAAAACACAGTTTCACATGCGTTCATGCAGGAAAACAGCTCGTAATGAAACTGCCATAGCCTAATGAGAGCAGACATCTCTGCCTGGGTTTATTGCACTCGTGAAGCTTATGCCATCGCTGCGTACACTTGCATACACATGCACAAAAGCGTCTGCTTGTTCACACATTATGGCTGACAGCGCCGGCAGCCTGTCACCACTGAGGTTGAAAGTAAAAGCATTTTGTGAGAGCCTTCTTTATACCTGTCCTTGTTGAAATGTGAGACGGCTTAAAAAAGTAACGTTAGAAGCATGTTTACATGAATGCAGGTCAAACTAAATATGCCAAATTCCACCTTTTAAATAGTCTCTTGGGTCGACAGTATACATTCGATTTGACTATAACGGCAATAGTGTTTCTAGAACTCATTTGATTGCTTCAGTCATTTGATTCTAATGACATTATATTTCACTGTGTAGCAGTTGCATGTCATTATATGCAAATGTCATTCCATTCTAATGACATTAAATGTTCAGTGTGACAGGGATATAACATGAGGAGACAACTAGACAGCTCTGCTGCATATACGTTGCAGTGCATGCAGTCATGATAATAAATGGAGAACATCTTCCGTGCAAACATTCTTCTATATTGGGGCAAGGGCAGGTGTTTCATAGCAGATTTTGTTCAGTATACATAAAGTATAACGAAATGTGCTCAATTTATTGCAGTTTCATTCAAGCATAAAATTTCAAGGCACTTTTGGTATTGAGTTTTATTGCCATCATTTTTCTTTTTTATCCTGTTGACCAATTCTGGGGCCGAAGAGCTATTTAAAAATAGCATAGCCCAGTGTGCAGGACAATAAAGAAGTACTAACACAAAATTTTGAAGGTAAAATAACTTGTAGGATACATTTGTGTAGGCACACATGCATCATCTATGAAATATCAGTGGTAATGTAGCCTGGACCATTTTTAAAATGAATTTTAAAGAGCATGTTACGTTACTGTACGCAAAACGTGCTTTTGGTTTGAAACAGCCACCCGCCGCAGTGGTTTAATAATTATGGTGCTGCATATCACGGGATCGAATCCTGACCACGGCGACCGCATTTTTGATGGAGGTGGAAATGCTCGAGACCTGTGTACTTAGATTTGGGTGCACTTTAAACAACACCAGGTGGTTGAAATTTCCGGAGCCCTCCTCTACAACGTTCATGATCATATGGTTTTGGGGCGTTAAACCTCATCAAGTATTATTATATTGAAACAGCCAACTGCCCCTACGTCCTTGCGATCGTCCCCGCAGGGGCGCCTGCGCAAGTAGGCGTTTGGTGTGTAGCGACACGACGGATCGGAGGGGGAGTTTTGACTCCCTCCCACGCCTAGCCGTGCGTGGCTTTGTTGTGTCCGGATAAAAGGGGATCCTGGGGGTTGAGCTGATGCTGGGTGATTGGACCTTTAAGGCCCCCGGCAGAGGCAACACACCCCTTTGGCCCCGGCTTCACGTAGATTTCCCCTGGGCTGACCCACCCAGGGGAAATCGGCAGTCGCCTTTTCTTATCTCTCTCCTCTCTCATCTTCGTCTTTATCTCTTGTTTTTTATCTACCCTGTCATCTCCTATCTTCCGTTTACTTCCAAATTTCCTGGCGGCAAGGGTTAACCTTGTGTAGTTACCCAACCTTGGGTAGTTACCCTATATCTGGTTATAGCGGCGATGTATGACTGGCGCCTTCAAGTGTTCTACCTTGTAGCGTCCCCCTGTTGGGCTCGGTGGTGGGTGGTCACCATCGCCGCCGAACATGAAATACACCACATGGCAAAATCTTTCCCCCTTCTCAATGATCGGTCCCTGAAAAGGAACCGCACCGATGAAAGCTCCAAACGAACCAAAAGCGATTGTGACCACTTCCCACACTTTCTAGTCATAGACTCTATGGCAGATAACGTCTCTGTTGCAGGACTGTCGGTTTTCCTGATAGCTAAAACCCTTGATAACCTAATAGGCAAAAAGTACGACGCAAAGAAACTGTCATCCGGTGATCTTCTTGTTGAAGTAAGCCAGAAACAGCATGCAAACACTCTCCTTAAACAGAAGCAGTTCGCCCACCTGGACGTGTCTATCACCCCCCATCGCAGTCTTAACAGTGTTCAAGGCGTCATTTTACAACGTGATCTGATGCGAGAAACTGAAGCTGACCTCCTTGAAGGCTTTCGAGAGCAAGGCGTAGTCGCGATCCGTCGGATAACCATCAGACGAAACAATGAAGAAGTGGTGACGCCTCATATAGTACTAACATTTAACCGCTCCATCCTGCCAAAATCCGTGAAAGCTGTGTTCCTTCACTGTGAAATTCGCCCCTGCATACCCAACCTTAGAAGGTGCTATAAATGCCAGAAATACGGACATGGGTCGAACACCTGTCGCGGAAAACAAACATGTGCAAAGTGTGGTGATCATGAGCACCCAACGGAGAGCTGTACTTCCACGCAAACAGAGTGCCCTAACTGTCACGAGCCGCACGCAGCGTACTCGCGGACATGTGAAATTTTCAAAAAGGAAAAGGAAATCATCCAGATAAAAGTAATGGAAAACATCACATTCTCTGAAGCCCGCAAGAAGGTGTCGCTTTTCTACGGAAGAACGTACGCTGACACAGCGCGGCGGGGGGCCGGGCGGCGTCTAGCAACGGTGGGCACGCAGTACAGCTTTGCTGATGCGTGCACAACTCGGCCCCGCACCAAGCAGCCGCAGGCTGCACCAACGTTCGAAGTCTCGCAGGTCCACCTCCATTGGACCTCAGAGACAAAACAGACAATCCAAACCCCGCAGGTCGACCTCCGTGAGACCTCGGGGACGACGCAGACAACTGAGAGGGCACCTGTCCCTCTTAAGAAACCTCCGTCAGCCTCCGAGTGTTCACAGGGGGCAATGGATGTGACACCGGCGTCCTCAGCTTCTCTGATGCTCACGGAATCCATCCTAGTGAAGCGGAGCCCAACAGAACGCCTCAGAGGGAAGAAACACCCTCCAGTCCAGGCGCCTGACAAACGCGGCGAAGTCTGAATAACCCTCCTAACTTTCTTCCTTCTTAAAATTGGCTGCCGAGAGTATCATCTACTGGAACTGCCGAGGTCTACTGAAGAACCTGGATGACATTTATGAAATACTTGTTCAACACCAACCTAACATACTTTGCCTGCAGGAGACACGCTTAAACTCAACACACACTAACTTTCTAAGAAGATATGTGGTATACCGAAAGGACAGGCATGGCACTTCCCATTCATCCGGCGGTGTCGCT